GATATAATTAAATCCAAGTATAATAAAATTGATTGCACATCAAACCCAACATATCCAAACACCAATCATCATATTTTGATCATTAGAAATATATGATTGGTGTATGTGACGAGCATGATTGCAGTTCCCATCGCTGAAATCATAAAAAGAATAATTCTAGAGTTTAACAAACCTAGCAGCAAATACCCTACGCGTAAGGATCCCTGCTAAGCCAAGAGGGGGGTGAATAGGCCTATTTAAAACAAATCTCAAACTCACTGTTAGTAACAGCATGGCACTGCCGCTCAACCGCACGGCACTGCCGTGACACGGTACTGGCGGGCAGAAATGAGGCACTGTCGCGTGTGTAGACAAGCTCGAGATCACAATTCAAAATCTACCCAAGGAAATTTAGATCGAGTAAATTATTGAGCTTCCTAGGGTAGTGTAGAGCCTATTCCACCACTTGATTGAAGTCGGAAGCTTATGCACGAGTAGATCAGGATCAAACCCTAGAATCACCAACAAACAAGACTAGCGCAATACAAATAGCAAGAACACGAGAGACAAGGAATTTATCCCGTGGTTCAGCTCGCCACAAAGTCTTGCCTACCTCCATGTTGTTGAGGAAGCCATCAAGGCTTGGGTTTCGCAAACCCTATCCTCTTTCCCAAGTCAAGAGAGCAAGTCTCTTGATTCGAGAGGTTCTTACTAGTAGAGTGGGTGATTACAAACATCCTGGAGCTACCACACGAGTTGGAAGCTTCGACGGGTGATGCCTAGCCAGCCAGGAGCCTTGCTCCAAGAGTAATAAACACAATCCACCAGCTTAAATGCGAACCAAGTGCTCTAGGAGTTGAAGAGCAGGATAGAGAGCTCTCTATTGCAATTTGGAGGCTCAATCTCTTAAAGATTTGGAGAGAAATCGAAGGGAGAAGCTTGAGAACCACCAATGGAGTGAGAGAGGGAGAAAGAGAGAGCTCTGGTCGCACTAGTTGGGGAAAGGACGAGATGACCGTTGGGGGAGAAGAGGAGAGGTATAAATACCTCCCTCATTCCAACGGTCCTTTAAGTCACGGCAGTGTCGTGAAGGCCACGGTAGTGCTGCGCACCTGTGTGGCAGTGCCGCGATAGCCAGACAGCCAAAGATAGAGAATGAAAGGGTTGCTGTCATGGCTTGGGTTTTGAGAATATTTTTGGTGGACAGTTGAGCACTTAGTTGCACATTAAAGCTTATGCATTGTATCCCCCTTTATAGTACGGCTTTCCCTAAACTCAAATTTAATATATAAAAGAATTTAAACATCTTTGAGTCCATCGTCGCATCCTTTTGTAGTTGGGGGCTCCACCGTTGCATGTATTATCCTCCTTTTCATTTTACCAGGTTGTCATCTCGATAAATCTCATTAGTCCTCTAATCGTGTGGTCATTATCACCAAAACCCATAGTTAGGGCTTGATTGCACTTACACTACGTCCAAGTCCACTTTGCATCCTTTGAACTATATCCAAAAACACTAGCAAATGATGTTAGTCCAAATGGTCATGTTGATCATCAAACACCAAAATCAAAACTAAATGAGCCAAGTGTCCATTTTCCTTACAAAAGTCTTGGTCTTTAGGTCTCCCTCCGCCGACAGCTTGCTCCCCAAGTCCTTGACGTACCCTTTTTGAGTTGGGCTTCACCTTTGGCAGCTCCTGGCTACCCCGTCTGTGTTGGGCTCTTCTCCAGACGGTGAGGTGCCCTGGCCCCATAACATCGACAAGGCTAAATAAATGTTAGTAAAACACCCTTCCAAATATAAAAGTCTACCAATCGTATTTCTTTTAGATGTATAGCTATGCGAACCTTTATAAGGGCACACAACTTATGATGGTTACTTTCCAATCCGGCCAAAAAAAATAGTTTCTTCTCAATAATAAATCTTAAAAAGCCAAGCAAAAGTCCAAAGTTGTTTTAGCCTACCTTTAAAAAACACCATTAGGCTTATAGAAAATCACATAACCATAAAAAAGGGAAAATTGACATAACCATCTAGCCATCGAATCCCTAACCATCCAATTGATAGGAACTAAAGTGAAGCCCATTTCTTTGGAAGGTTTGAAATTCAAGAAACAAGATTTTTGATATTTTAAAAGTGAAATGAAAATCATCTATATATCTACGCCATCTTTAACACTATGGGTTGTTAGACCTTTGTTGATGGTCACTAAACACCATTTTGACCATCAACATTGCACATAAAGTGAAGGTATAATCAACATCATAAGATTTTTGTTTCAATTAACGTAGTTCCACTTATACTTGGAAAATATTTGAATGCATGGAAATTTGATCAAATTTCATCAAAACAAGTACCAGAGGCAAGTAGGACATGGTAGGGCCACCAAGGGCCACCTAGTCAGGTTGGCCGACCCCACCCAGGGTCGTCTGTTGACACCAAAGGTGGCACATAGAATAAACCACAAGCGCACGGCTGTCAAGGTAGCTTTCACCCGAGAGTATTCCAGGGTATCGATTTCCACAAGGAACATGAGTGCTTAACAAAGAACTAAGTTCGTCCAATGACACAAGGGTATATGATAGATTGGGTAGAGAGGATTTTCTATGGTTATGAAACTAGATAGGTAAGGTAGATACAAAGGTTGTTCACTTCGGGTCACTGAGCCGTTTAGCAACAGAAAGGGATGAAAAGGGTGCTAAACCGCCTAGCACAAGAAGACCTACGTTTAAAGAACTTGCCCGAACATGGTGGGATCAAAGGCTAGATAAGGTTGTCACCACCTACTAGCTACCACAAACTAACCGTGGAGCAAGCAATAGGCACAGGTAAGCGTATAGTATATACACCACGTCTACACTATATCTTACTACTCTAATCCAAATTCTAATGAGCTTGATTAGAGTACCGGGTAAAGGGCTATGAACCAATGAACAACAAAAGTAAATACTTTACCAGAACTAAGGATCAATTACCATAAAAGAATCTCAGATGCCTACTTACAGGAAAGGTCGCATCCGCCGAGGCATAGCTTGGAGGAGATTCCCGACAGGCCCGGGACTTCCTCCACACTTTCCTCACTCTCTCCCTATGATTGATGCTACTAATACTAAAGATGAACTAGAATGAGTAGCTTCCCCTTGGTGTCTTGTGAGTGAGGGGGTACCCCACTATTTATACTAGTTGTAGGTGGACCCATGAATCCGCGTGACGTCCCTTCTCTTCTATTGGATGAAATCGCCTTAACATCGAGGGCTAGGATCATTTGAGCTTGTGTTTCCCTGCATGCATAAATGCATAGAGGCGGTTGAGCTCCTAAGGCCCGTCGGGCGACCAAGCGGGGGTCGGTCGACCCCCCCTATGGTAGGTGGGGCCACCCCCTTGAGTGTGGGACCTCTTCTTGTGTGTGTAGGAGCTGAATGGGTGAAAGTGGTAGGTCGGTTGACCATAATGGGGGGTCGGCTGACCCCCTATGACAAGTGGGCCACACTCCCTAGGTAGGGACTGTGTCACCTCACTCCACACCAAAGTTGAACTGATTTGGCCAAAATAAGACCGTCGGCCGACAGGTCAATTTTGGCCAATCAAGCCCATCTTTTGCAGGTAGCTTCTAGAAGCATTGGCCATCATGATGATGTATTGCAATGGCCAATTGGCCATACTTGGGGGGTTGCCCCCCCCCCCCCAAACTTGATTTTTCTTCCATTTTGTACCTACATTCAGATAAAGGACATGTACATGTGGAACCAAGTTATTTGAACCAAAATCATTCATGTTATGCTCATTTCCTTCTAGGGGTGACACTTTGATGACAATTTTGACTGTGTAAAATCATGACAAAACTACCATCAACATCGCCCGACCTGCCCCCACTAGCTGCCACGTTGGTGATCCGCCCCAAGCCGAGGAAACACACTTTGGGCCAATCCTAACTGTTGGTTTGATCCAAGGGCTTGGGTGGAGCTTCACATGGATTGGATGGCCCACCAAAGGGGTTTGGACATGTGACCAATTGTCAAACCGACTTGGGAACCTATCAACCGGCACTGAGGAGCGTTGTGGAGTGTTGGATCGAAGGCGGTGCATCCAAGGGGGGTCGGGCAACCCCACCTTGTTTAGCCTCTCATCCATCAGAAACTGAATAGGAGCTTAGTTGGAGAGCTTTTCCGTGTGTTTGAAGTCTCAAAATGTGATGAGGGCTCAAGTAAGGTCTTGGTTGTAGTTTCTTAGTTAAGTTTATTAGGATGAGAAGCAAATATGTTGTAATTGCAAGGATGATATATAGCCCTATTTAAAAAAATGCTTGGACTCAGTGTCCACGCAATATTTTAAAAAATGAATACCATTATGCAACTTTTTACAAATTATATTTATGCATATATTTGAGCTTGCCTAGTAAGTTTGAAGGGTCGACAAGAATCCATATGGTCACATCTTTAAAGAACGAGGCATTGCTGGAATGTATCTTTTCATCACATGATTTGAAACCATAAAGATGGTAATAAACTCAATCAAGTTCTTGATTACAAAAGATAAAATATAGTAGAGTGTTGCACTAGAGCGATATTTACAATGAGTTGAATTCACTACGCCATATAGTATTTATATCGACGGCTCTAGAGACTTTGTAGGGATAATTTGTCTAGCCGCTCCTACCCCAATGCCTCTACAAATCATGCATTACAAATCATGCATTTGTAGGAGCGGTTCCCAGACCACTCTTACAAATCGATTTGTAGAGACAGTTCCCGAACCGCCCTTACAAATCGATTTGTAGAGGCGGCTGGTCCCGGACCGCCCTTACAAATTGATTCGTAGAGGCAGCTAGTGCTACCAGCCGCCCGCCCCTATAATACCTATTTGTAGGGGCGGTTCAGTCTAGAACCGCCCCTACAATACATTTTTCCGTAAAAAAAATATATGCATATATAATTCAAATCTGACCAGAACATATATAATTCAAATCTGACCACAAGCCCAAGAGTATTATATAAACTACCATGTATTATATAAACTACCATTACAACCCTGTATTTTCGTCGTGTACAAAGAATATCAGATAGCCATCGTCTTCTTCTCCAGATACACATGGCTGCTTGGGAACAAAAATCGCCTCTGAACCGAATCTACCAGGTCCCAGGTCATATATGCCTAGTATATTTCCTCCCACTTCAAGCTCTTTCTTACCACTCTCCGGTTCAGCATGCAGATCAAATTTTATGATGCCAGTCACCTTCGCAATGCTGTCAAGTATAGTGCAGTAGACATACCGCTGCTTTCTATTTTCAACAAAAGTGGCAAATTAGAAATCCTCAGAGCTTCTGGAAGCATCTAACTAGATTCTTTAATGATGTTCAGTTCATAGAATATCTACCAGAGGAAAATTGAAAAAAAATGAAATTGACAGTAAGCGTGCTTCCACTAAAACAAAAGAATCAATGCTAACTTAATTGAAAATATCCAATAGAGGTACCTGCCAGTATAGCTCTCATTAACATGAGGAAAATCCACAGCAGAAACAGACAGCTGCTTTTGTGAAGCAGCGCCCGATTTCATGTTGAATCTCATCTCGTACCTAAAATATTGGCACTAGAAAAATGGCAAGCACTGCATTACTTCATAACAAAAATATAGATCAAGATTGCAGGTATATACAGCTCATTCCCGAAGTTTTCGAGCTTGTCATTTTGATGTCCATTCACTTTGTCCAAATCTGGGTTCTCAAGACGGCAGGTAATGAGAACAACTTCATCACCCTCTTCCCAAGCATTAGCTGTGACAACACATGTTATCAAAGATCAGCTCAAACTAAGAAATACATGGAATTGCATAGTCAAGCATAGTAACTTGAAACCGATCTAGCTTGAGTCCTGTTCTTCTGACATAATTCTATTAGAAGCTCCTAAAGGTAGAAGCACAAATTTGCAAAAAAAAGAAAGAAAGAGAAGAAAACAGAGTTGGACAAAAATCTAAAAAGGCCATACATTAAGAGTTCCAGCAGAAAGCTAAAGACACCATACCATTATGGAATATGAAGCAATTAGGGAGTTCAAACCATCTAATGAGTTTGTCATCCTTTGCATAGCGTGGGAGAATACCAAAACGAGCTTTCTTTGTAGGATCAAACTTGTAGATAAACTCACCGTTCTTCACCATTCCCTGTATACAATCATATAAAACAATAATGATCTAGTTATGAAAACAGGTTTGAAGCATTTCCTAACTGCATTAAATAGGAATCAACTAGGACATCCATCAGCTGAATGTAAATAAGTAGCACAGAAAGAAAATGCAAAGAAGGTTTTCTGTGCTCACCTTTGGTCGGAACAACAAAGGGAGGTCCATAAAAATAGAGTAATTCTCCGTGATGGCAAAGTCATGCATCATTACAGATTCTGGTATTGTTATTGGCACAGGATCAAGCATAGCTCCTTCTTTGGTAATCACACGGTATGTACAGTATGGAGGTTCATGTGAATATCCGAATGTGAACATCAAAAGTTGTCAGAAATCAGAGGGAAATCAAGAAATAGTACTGAGCCAATGTAATTTACCTGTAAAAGGGTCAACCTTTGGATGGGCAGTGAAAGAATGTTTCAACCTTTTGTCATAATCCAACAAGCCAAGAGTCTGCAAGTCTCCATCTTCAAGGACCTTAACAACATCTAAAAATGTGGAACACATGTTCTGCATTAGCATAATTACTGCAATGGATGTGTGTGGTCTGTGGATAACAAAAGATTGCAGTAGCATGTAAAAATCAGGATGTGATCTCTGCATAGTTGCAAGCAGAATGTGCCATCGGAAAAGATTTTCAAGATTCCTATGGCAAATCTGTCTTACACAGTGTGATGTCCTTTTGCTGTGGTAAATGTGCGTGGTGATTTAAATCCTACTATAAACGAATATTTTTTTGGGAGCAGACAACCAATACAGACAGTGCCGAATATGAAACTGATTGTCATTATTTCCATATTTGTATCTTTCTACAACCTGAACTCCTATTTTATTCTTTACCCTCTATAGCTGCATGGCACAGATGAATCAATGTGTCCCCTACATGCCTTGCATAGTGGATTCTACATATTGTTTATTTTTGTACTGTCACACAGGTTTTAGCATATGATTTCTTCATTGTCACTTCTTGTTAGCCACAAGAACATAACAACACTGCTAAATTTTGGGGGAAAATTTACCAATTTTATACACAGAAGTTAGGTGCCTTTCCAACAGGGAGAGGTTGGTGCTGCGGGAAAAGAAGGCTACTTGGTCAGCATGGGGAGTCGCACATGTGTTCTTCGGTGAGATGGTGGTCTAGGTCACCTTGCCAGCGTCGACGGCGTTGATCGCTTAGCATGAAACATTCAGAAAACAAGATTCAGATTTAGGGGAGCAAACAAGGCGATAATCTGCAGAAGAAATATCTCATAATGACCAGGCAAATCTAAAACAACTGCACGTTCACCGGGTAACAATTTTGAAGAAATCAATCTCTGAATCTAACAAACTAAATGCTAAAAATGAAGCACAAATAGGGTTGGGGAAGTGGCCATAGCCATCCGTACCTGGTGGCTGGGCTTCTGTCCAGCGGGACAGAGGGGAGGAGGGGATGAGCCGGCGCCGACGCTGCGGCAGCGGAACCCCGGCTGCGTAGGCGTGGCCTTCGTCGCGGGCGGCACCTGCGCCGGGGCCGTCGCACGGCTATGCCGCCAGCGTCCACGTCGGGCTCGCCCCATCCTGGACTGCCGGTGGCGCGGAGGCGAAACCCTAGGTCGCCGCCACTGCGCCGGGAGCCGGTGGCCTAGGTGGAGGTGAAAAAGGGAGAGAGGAAGCCGCCGCGGCCTCCGAGGAGCTGCCGTCGCCTTGGGAGAAAGAGAGAGACAGAGAGGAAGGAGAGAGCTGAGACGGAGGAGGAAGAGGCGGCGCGCGTCGTACATGGAAGCTGGGCTTAGGAGAAGACCAGAATGTGCTGGAGGAGGGGGTGAGAAGATATTTTGGGCCTATGCACAGTAGATGTCGGTGGGTGAGCCTCCACCGTTGATGTTGGAATCGAATGGCTGAACAATTTTGGGTGACGTGGCCATCAGCATAGGCGGTTGGTGATTTAGCCGCCCTTACAAACGGACACAGTAGGGGCGGCTGGTAATAGCCGCCTCTACATACCAGCCGCCTCTACAAATCGATGTATTTGTAGGGGCGGCTCGTATTACCAGCCGCCCCTACTGTGCCATTTGTAAGGGCGGCTGGTGTGCTGAAGCCCGAGCATGCTATTGTAGGGGCGACTCCAATGCTAGCTGCCCCTAAAAAAAGACCCGTTGCTACAAACAATTTTTCACGTAGTGATTTAGTCCTTGGAATGTGTTAGAGCAATATGGAATTGTACCTATTATCATGGTGCCATCCTGTTTAGAAAAAAGATAATCAAATTTTTACTTACTTTGGTTTAAGAGGAGGGGAGGGGGAGGGGGAGGGGGAGATAGAGAGAAAAGGGTTAGGAAGATAAAAGGGAGTTACATGAGATAGAAAAACAGCCAAACAGATAGGAAAAAGGGAGCAGGAGCACAATAAGGAGGGAGGTAGGGAATAAGATGAAGATGATGAGAGAGGGAGATGACCGACATTTATTTTATAGAGATTATGTTTATGCAAGAAATATTTTAAATACACTCATCTAATTTATATCTATCATATATGTTTTTCTGTAGTACAAGAACAAAGGAGATATGAACTTAGCAATACGTTATATCACACCTATATATTTGAACTATACCAGGATATGTTGACATACCCTATTGTATCATTGCAAGACCAATTAGCTTTTGATATAATTAATATGAATTGGCTAGTAAAAACATTCATTAACATTTATTCTGTATGTCTGAAATGGTTTTTATTACACATAGGTGTCTGCTAGTTTAATTATACAAACTAGTCCGTGCATATGTATATTATGCACTTGTTCACGAATAGCATACATACATACAGATACAGTAGTAGAAGCAAACAATGGGTCGTCACAGTGGTCACACACACATCTTGGTACAATACGGTGGCTTTTGGCTCCATCGAGATTCCCAAAAGCCATGGTGCCCTGCAAAGGCCGCTACATCTTTACAATCAGGTTCCCAAAAACCAGCGCCGTGATGAAACTAGCAAGGGTCCCTGCAATCTTGCCAAACTTGTGGAACCCGATGCTGCTGCTAAACATGTTTTCAAGCATGCTGTCGAAATTCATGGCGCCGTCACCCACGTCCTGCTTACGGTAGTAGGCCTCCCAGCTGCGGCGAGCCGTTTCCTTGAGTTCACTTTCCTTGAGGCACGCCACGTGCAGGTCAACAGCGTCGCCGTCCACGTAGCAGAGGTACGCCCAGAACCTACGGCGGCGGCCCTCATTATCTGGGCAGAAGGCACACGGCCGCGATGCCCTCCGGTGGAGGTCGAAGGCACGGCCGTCCTGGAGAAAGCGGACCGGCAGAGAGGCCCAGCACTGGTGGAGGTCGTGGTCTTGCTCGGAGCAGTGGTAGACGTAACCGCGCGTGGGCTCGCCACAAGCATCGCAGATCCTGCGCTCGACAGGGGACGGGGCCTCGTGGAGGAAGCGGAACTCGAACTTGCCGTAGCCGAATAGAGGATGCACCAGAACGTGGAGATGGAGACCCAAGAGAGGATCATCTGCGATGGCGCAATGCGTGTGGAGGTCCAAGGATTGGCCCCCGCCGCCGCAATCGCACGTGTACCTGGGCCCGTAACCGGGCTCCTTGCAGCCGTCGCACAAGAACGGCGCGCCGGCGGTCGTCATCAGCTTCAGCTTGTGCTCCGGGTGAGGTGGAACGGGAGATCTCGGACGGAGGATCCTTGTGCGACGATTCTAGTACTTCTTCCCACGAACTGAGTCCGTGACTACTAAAATTCTGGTTGCTAAAAAAGTTGTTTTGACAAGACTTGTGTTAAACATTGGCAATATAAATCATAAATAAGTTTTAAGTCGTTGAATTTGAAAAATATGAAAACCATGTGAATAGATTTATCTTGAAAAATATTATTATAAAAATATACATACATCACTTTTTAATAAATATTTTTATAAAAATAAGAAGTCAAACATATACTTTAGTTCATGTATTGCTGTCCAAAATAACTTCTTTTAGCAACCTAGAGGGAGTACAAGATATCCCCAGCGTTCAAAATTTGTCTTCAATAAATTATAAAAAAAATATAGGTGAACTAATCCTCCAAGTTAATTTAAAAAGACAACATTCTATTTACGTGCATACATATCATTAATTTCTATTATTAATACAAATATATAGTAACAAGAAAGGTTTACATGCATCATTTTATTTACTGCATAATATATGTTTTAGAATTTCTGGATACCTTATATAGCTTGTCTCCCGGTCCGACCATTCTTGTAGTGCATACCAATCTTCCTCCCTACTCCCTGGAACCTCAAATATAAGATATCTAAATAATTTTAGGACAAATTATGAGGTACAATAAATGACGCATATAGCTGTCCAGATTATTATATTTATATTGATAACAGATATTAATGGTAGGTGTACATGTGAATGTTACATTTTGAAAGTTTTATTCACTTAGAATCGTTTATAATTTAGGATGGATTTGAATGCTTGAATACCCCAAATTGCACGCCGGAGGAAGTAACTGAACAATCTTGATTGGGCACGCACCGTAACGATCATCGGAAGGCCCTACAGAAAATCGGTTTGATTAAACAACGATAAGATTTGAAAGAATCCGTAATAATTAATTAATACAGCGACGTAAGCTGTGCAGGCATGAGTGAAATATCCCCGCCAAAAACAGCAAATAGGTGAACTACTTGTTTTGAAACTTTATAATGCATTTTCAGCTGACCCAAGTCAGCACATTAAATTCCGAAGTCCAGTGACATAGGATGTACCAAAAGTTTTGTATTTACTATGAAAACAGGTAATTTCTGGGAAAATATTGTACGATTGATAGTATACATACAACAGATTAATAATGGTACCTGTTCCATCACCGCTGACTCATCAAGTTTAAAATTTTCCATCTCAATCTCATCCAATTGACTCACAATATCCTTTACTTTAGGCCTTTTATGTGGATCATTCTCCATGCACCTTCTTGCAATCTCGATACATCTTTTCACTTGTTTACAGTCTACTTCAAGTGATGCATAGTTGGGTATCTCTTGTAGATATTTTTTCCAGTTCTCATGAACCTTCCAAGTCAAAACACAGGGTGCAGTTAGCATAAATGAAAACTGGATTCATACATGGAAACAAAACATACCTACTACCCTATTGCAATTTGCAAATATGGGTTCAGGTTTTGAACAAGTGAATTAAGGCCCTATTTGGATACCTCCCTGATTATAATAATCAGATTATATAATCATATTTTGATTCAAGAAGGATTGATTATATGGTGGATTATTATAATCAAACCTCTAGATTACCATAATCTCATAATCCAGGTGAAACCAGGTTATAGGGGATTAATATTAAAATGGAACTCTTGTGTATATATTAATATAAAATTGTTGAAATAACATAATCTTACATGTTCAGCAAATTCCTGGGCACCCATATCGGCAACATCTGAGTAGCCTGTAGTTCCAGTGACTATTTTTGTAACTACAACACCTAAACTGTATATATCATACTCCTTTGAGATTACTTGATAATTAATAAATTCTGGCGGTAAGTATCCACTGCAGCAGAACATAAGTAAGGTGACATAGAGGAATACACACTATTCAGCTGATTATAAAAACTCTGTTCACCTGAGCATTAATCTTACATCGTCCCTGTTAGACAATGGTATTTAGCGTGGATACTTTTTAGGATATCTTGTATATCTTTGGCAATATCTGTTGTAAACCGTATATATCTCATGTAGGCATATTGGTCCAGGAAACTAGGCTGTTATTTCCATATTTAGGTTAGCTTAGTTTGGAATCTTTCCTGGCCAATCTCCCTATATATGTAAGCCACGATGAGGGCTTTTTTCATTATTATTAAATCAACACGCATTCACCAAGAGACCCGAGCTTGGGCTCTGGTGTTCCATCTAGCGCCTCTGATTCTTTCATGGTAATCGAAGCCTTTATCCCGGTTGAATTTCATTAGATCAATCGTAGAAATCAAATCTCCCCATGGCGAGTTCATCATCCGCTCCAGCAAATCATCTCCTTGGTCACGTGGTCTCTGAAAAGCTGACCAAAGGAAACCATGCAATCTGGAAAGCCCAAATCAAGGCGGCTGTGCGTGGAGCACGGCTCCTTGGTCATCTCACCGGTGACACAAAAGCACCGGAGGCCGATCTCACCATCAAGAGTGGCGACGGCAAAGATAAGAAGGACGAGAAGGTCATCAATCCTGCATATGAAGCTTGGGAGGCCGCTGATCAACAGGCCCTCAGCTTCATTCTCTCTGCACTGTCCAAGGACGTGCTTATTCAAGTTGCTACGAGCAGTACGGCGCATCAAGCTTGGCAAGTCATTGAAGACATGTTTGCATCTCAAACAAGAGCTAAGGCGGTAAATCTTCGTCTGCCTCTATCTACTACCCACAAAGGGAGTATGAGTTGCACCGAGCATTTTGCCAAGATGAAAGCTCTCGGTGACGAGATGGTGGCGGCAGGAAGACCGCTCGAAGATGAGGAACTGGTCGAGTATATCATTACCGGCCTAGGAGAAGACTTCAGCAGTCTTGCATCTGTTCTCTGTGCTCGAGTTGAACCCATATCCATTGGAGAATTGTACTCTCAAATGCTCAACTTTGAGACCAGAATGGGTCTCTACAACTCTCAACAAGCTAGGGTCTGCCTACTCAGCTAGCCGGGTACGCGGGCCGGGGACGCGGTGGTGGCCGCGCCTTTGGTCGAGGACAAGGCGGACAACAGCAGCGTGGCCGTGGCCGTGGAATGGTTCGTGGCCGAGGCAACAATGGTGGCCGCGGTGGCAGTGGTAATCGTACCAACCAACTACAACCGTACATCAACAAATCAAGAAGAGAAGCCTTTATGCCAAGTATGCTTCAAGAGAGGGCATGCAGCTAATATTTGCTGGCACAGATTTTGTTGGATATATTATGGGCTTGGCCCATATAATATTTAATAAATTAAATAAAACTCTATGGTACGTAACATTAAGCGTAGTATGGTTTAATACCATACGGGATTTTGACTGAACGTTGACTCAGCTTATATGGTTGGAAATTATTCATCTTAATTGAGAAGCTAAGAAAAGGACATAGGCGTGCCACACGAGCGCGCGCGTGCCGCCGCCGGCCGGGCCGGGCCGGGCCGTGGGCGTGGGCGTGGGCCGTGGCGAGGCGGGTGGCCAGCCGGCAGGCGTGGCCAGTCTTTTGCCACTTATCCACATAATCACGGGAGTTACTCCCTTTGATGGTAGAGGCGAACTGATTGCGTTAGTTACCGTCTCCTGGGATTCTCCGCTGCCTTTCTCCCTTCCTTTCGCAGCCATATATATCTCTAGTCCTCCATCAGTCCAGATCTCCGTCTTCCGCAACCGCTCCCGAGAGAAACCACATCTCAGCAGCCCTCTGGCTTCCCCGTCCCGTACCTCTGCGCGCACGGAGTAGCGGGAGAGCAGGTGCCTCCGGAACCCGTAGCAGGAGAGCAGGTGCCTCCGGAACCCTCGTTCGCCTGAGAACCTTGCACGGGGTATGCGGCGATTAGGTTTTTGGGGGAGCGATCCGCGACTGCTCGTCCACGTACGCCTTCTTCCTGGTGGTGATCGCTCTCGGAACCCATCTTTTTCCCGGTGATTGCCTGCGGAACAGCAAGGCGTCTTCTTCCTGGTGATCCGTTTGTAGGACTATACTGCGAATATCGTCCTACATCGACTATGGTCCACGACTTCGAGCAACGCACTATATCGACTAGTGCGAATGGAGCCTCCGATGCCCTCAGCATGGGACCCTCCACTGGGTACAATCTAATCTCTATGATTACTGTACTTTGCGCTTTTACTGTATTCATTTGTAGCGTTCATTAGAGATATACACATGCACATATATGCCGTCACGAACCTGCTGATATTATATGTCTGGATTAAATTGATTATGAAAATTCCTAATTTTCTAACAATCCAAAAACCTAATGTTAGGCAATTTTCTGTCAGTGGTTTTGCTGCTGCTTTGAAGCCAAATAATTTTAATGGAAATAATTTCATGATATGGCGTGCCAAGATGGTATTATGGTTGACTTCGATGAACTGCTATCATGCCGCACATAGAAAACCTGAACAGTTTACTCCTGAGGAGCAAAAGTTATTGGCTGCCGATAACCTGTTTCAAGGCGCTATGATTAGTGCACTTCATCCTAAGTATGAGAAAAACTACATATCTTGCACATCAGACAAAGAGTTATGGGATGCTCTTGAGGCAAAGTTTAGAGTTTCTGATGCTGGTAGTGAGCTGTACCTTATGGAGCAGTTGTATGACTACAAAATGGTTGAAAACCGTTCTGTGGTCGAACAGGCTCATGAGATACAGGCGCTAGCAAAGAAACTAGAACATTTCCCATGTTTATTGCCTGATAAGTTTGTGGTTGGCGGTATAATCGCTAAGCTGCCACCTTCTTGGAGGGATTTTGCTACTTCTCTAAAACACAAGAGACAAGAGTTTAGCGTGGCTGAACTTATCGAATCTCTTGATGTTGAGGAGAGGGCGAGAGCAAAAGACAACCGTGGAAAGGGAGTTGACTCTTCCGCTGCCAATATGGTGCAGAAGAAAAACTCATTTGCATCCCGTAATAAAAAGAAGAACATGCAAGAGAACAACAATGCAAAGCCTAAGCAAACTACACAGTTTAAGAAGAAAAACAACAAGAAATGTGGAGGTTGCTTTGTTTGCGGGAGTGATGAGCATTGGGCAAGTGCGTGCTCAGACCACAAATATAAGAAAAGAAATCAACAAACATGGTGATTAGCGAGATTGGAGGAGGAACATCTAGGTATGGTAATTCTTTACCTTTTGTTCTTTTAGTTTGTCTTTCACCTGAGTGATGGATGGACAACGGTGCTAATATTTATGTGTGTGCTGATGTTTCTTTGTTTACTTCCTATCAGGCCGGCAGGACTAGAGCCTTGCTGATGGGAAATGGTTCGCATGCGTGTGTTCTTGGTGCTGGTACGGTCGTTCTAAAGTTTACTTCGGGAAAGATGGTGCTATTAAAGAACGTGCAGCATGTCCCCTCCATTAAGAAGAATCTTGTTAGCGCTTCTCAAATGTGTCACGATGGCTTTAAAATTATGCTTGAGTCTAATAAGTGTGTTGTGTCGAGACATGGAATATTTGTTGGAAAAGGTTATGATTGCGGAGGCTTGTTCCGCTTATCTTTGCTTGATGATGTGTGTAATAAAGTGGTGAACAATGTTAATGTTTCGGATGAGTCGAATATATGGCATTCACGACTTTTTCACATGAATTTTGGCTGTCTCACGCGGCTTGCAAATCTAAATTTAATCCTAAAATTTAACTTAGTCAAAGATTCTAAGTGTCAGGTGTGTGTGCAATCGAAGCAACCGTGCAAGCCTCACAAGGCTGCTGAGGCGAGGAACTTGGCACCATTAGAACTCGTTTATTCTGATTTATGTGAAATGAATGGTGAATTGACTAAAGGCGGTAGACGATACTTCATGACATTTATAGATGATTGTACTAAATTTTGCTACGTGTATTTATTGAAAACTAAAGATGAAGCGTTGCATTATTTTAAAGTCTATAAAGCTGAGGTAGAAAATCAACTTGAGAAGAAAATCAAGCGTTTGCGGTCCGATCACGTGGGAGAATATTTCTCAAATAAATTTTCTGAGTTTTGCGCTATGCATGAAATTATTCATGAGAGGACGTCACCATACTCATCACAGTCCAATGGGATTGCAGAGAGAAAGAACCGTACTCTAACTGATTTGGTTAATGCTATGTTAGAGACTGCGGGACTATCTAAGGAATGGTGGGGTAAGGCTATATTGACAGCGTGTCATGTCCTAAATAGAGTGCCCACAAAGAACAAAGAAATTACACCATTCGAGGAATGAGAGAAGAAGAGATTAAATCTCTCTTACCTACGAACTTGGGGTTGTTTGGCAAAGGTGAATGTGCCAATAAACAAAAAGCAAAAGCTTAGACCAAAGATTGTTGATTGTGTCTTTCTTGGTTATGTTATTCACAGCGTGGGTTATAGATTTTTAATTATAAATTCTAGTGTTCCTAAGATGGCTGTTGATACAATCATGGATTCTAGAGATGCTATATTCTTTGAGAATGAGTTTTTCATGAAAAATGCACCTAGCACGACTAGTCATGAATTTATAATTCCCCATGAGCGTGAAAATTTTACTCCGATAGAACAAACTGAGGAACCCTATATGCAAAATCCTGAGGAGGATGACACTATAGTCACTAGAAAGAGTAAGAGACAGAGGACTGCAAAGTCTTTTGGTGATGACTATATTATGTACCTTGTGGATGACACACCAACAACCATTGAAGAGGCATATTCCTCTCCTGATGCTGACTTATGGAAGGAAGCAGTACAGAGTGAGATGGATTATGTTATGTCTAATGGAACTTGGGAAATAGTTGATTGTCCCTATGGGTGCAAGCCTATAGGGTGCAAATGGGTGTTCAAGAAAAAGCTTAGGCCTGATGGTACTATCGAGAGGTATAAGGCAAGGCTTGTGGCCAAGGGTTATAATCAAAAGAAAGGTGAGGACTTCTTTGATACTTATTCACCGGTTGCCCGATTGACCACAATTTGAGTTTTGCTTTCCGTGGCAGCCTCTTATGGTCCCATCGTTCATCAAATGGACGTTAAGACAGCTTTCTTAAACGGAGAGTTAGAGGAGGAGATCTATATGGATCAG